GGAGGAGGAGGAGGAGGAGGAGGAGGAGGAGGAGGAGGAGGAGGAGGAGAAGAAGAAGAAGAAACAAGAAAAAGAAATTAGATATCCTGACAGCAAAGATCAAACCTGCCTCAAGGAACTCAAAGCTCCTGAACAGCAGTAAGGAGTCTAACAGTAACGTTGCCCCTTCCCGACCCCTGACTTTACTCAGGATCTCTTTCCTTTCCTCTCTATCCTTTTTTCTTTTCTATCTAGTGCTGGGGTGTGTGTGTGAAAGGGTGGAAGAAAAGGGGTGGAGAAGGGTGGAAGAAAGAAAGACCCACAAAGTAGCCAAAGTCCTGCTACAGAAAAGTGACTAGTGCCCCCTCCCATCTTCCAGGGAGCAGCTGGGATTGCAAGTGCTCTCCACTGAGCATAGCCCTGCATGGGCTCCAGGGCTTTGAACGGAGACCCTCATGCTTGCATAGTATCTCCTCAGTAAACTCCCTTTCCAACCTTGGTGGTTTGGGTTTTATTTTGTGTGTATGTGATGGGATTGGAGGATTCCGGCAAGCAAGGGAGCACCGTGCTGCTGAGCTGCAGCAGCAGCCTGCCTAAGCTGGCAATGGGCTCAAGAAATGAATGACTGACTCGATGCCGACTCAGTCTATGATGTCAGGAAGTAGTGTAAGCCCCTCAGGGCACAAGCTCAGGCCTTGAAATCTCACCAATCCCCACCCTGGATTGTTCAGTCCCAAAAGAAAAGCTATATAACCCGTGTCTTCTGCTCAGTTCTCATGGCTTCTCTCCCTAGCCAAGGTGGCATTCTCTTGTGTCTTTCCCAATAAATCTACTGTGTGGGGTTTGTTGTGCAGAGTGACTTTGTGCTATTATTTCTTGGCTCCTGACTGCCAGGATACCTTTCCCTTCAGAGCTGTAACACTTCAGGTAGCCCCTGGGCTCACCTGGTTTGCAGTTGAGCACCTGCCAACCTCATCCCACCTCTCTCTTGCTCAAAACCCCAACATCCTGTTTCCTAAAAAGCATCTCTCTCATCTCTAGGCTACGCTAAATGCCTCTCTGACCCCACGCCCAGCACCCCAAGAGAACTGAGTATGAGATACTACCATAGCCAGCAGAAAAGTGCTGAATTGCTCTCAGAATCCTTGAAAAAAAATCTCACTCTTACTTCTCCATTCCATGCTCTCTCTCCCACAGCTCCTGCCGTGGAGAGATATGTGGAGAGAGAGAAAGGAGATGATCTAATGAGGCAGTCTTCCAGTTGGGAATGAGCTCATGGGGAGACAGGATGTGGTGTGGTAAGGGCTTTTCTCAGGTTCCAGAACTCCACGCTGGGGGTTAGGACATGGAGGAATGTGCTTATGACTGAGCTCTGAGTCCACTAGAAGAATGAAGTGGCAGCGGGGGGTGCGACAGGCTGGCAGGACTGCTCAGTGATGTAAAGCGGGCCTGAAGCCGTGTCTGTGTCCATCCACCCATGGCCTCACAAGTCCAGAGTGCCCAGAAGAGGTACACAGGAAATTGAGACTTCCTTTTCCTTTCTCTCCCCTTCTTAGCATCAAGGTCACATGGTACTGCCTTGAATTCTGACCTGTGTTTTATTTGGCAATGTTTTCTTGGCATGGTGACAGCTGTTCATTGTTCTGCTTCCTTCCATGACCAACCCTCCAAACTTCCCCTTGAAATGATAGTCATCATGCAAAGACCAACAAGGTACTGGCTCATTTGATTAACTTTTGTAAGGAGTTTTAATTTTATATGTATGTCTGCATGTATGTACATGTAGCACTCGGGAGCCAACGGAGATCAAAAGAGGGAGTCATATTCTCTAGAGCTGGAGTTATAGAGGATGGCTGTGAGATGCTCGGTGGGTGCTGGGAACCACACCCAGGTTATCTGCAAGAGAAACATTTACTCCTAACTCCTGAGGTATCTCTAGCCCCAGTTTAAAACTGTTTAGTTTTATTTGCCTGTGTGAGCATGGGTGTGCAGTGTGCTTCTGAATGCAAGCAAACGTCAGGGCAACTTTCAGGAATCTGTTCTCTCCTTCCACCATGTGGATCCTCAGGACCCAGTTCACAGGCAAGTTTGGCAAACAGGTACTTTATATCTAGTCCCAAACCTGTTTGGTTTTGTTGTTTTGAGACAGGGTCTCACTATGTAACCTTGGCTGGCTTGTAATTCGGTACAGACCAGGCTGGGGTGAGCCAGCAAACAATCAAGCCTGGTCTTTACATCATTTCATCTTATTTTGAAGATTTAGTAGTGTTGAGAGGTGCATACTATTGTGCATGCCTAAAGGTCAGAGGACAGTCCTGGGGTGCCTGCCCTCTCCTACCTTTATGTATGTAGGCTCCAGGGACTGAGCCATCCGTGGGCGTTTTTGTTTGCTTGTTTATACATTATATCTTGTTATACTGCCAAGGTTGGCCTTCAAGTCTTGGGCTCAGGTGATCCAGCTGCCTCAGCCGTGCAGGTAGCAGTGACCACAGCCACTTGGCAGCTCTCTGAATTTTTGTATATTTTCTTTTTAACACTTTGTGGGGGCAGATGTGTGCATGTGCATGTACACACATGAGTGTGTATGTGTACACACACAGAGGCTATGGCATGAGTGTGGAGGTCAAAGGACAGTTTGTGAGAAGGCAGGTCTATCCTTCTTCTATGTAGATCCTGGAGATTGAACTCAAATCATCAGGCACGGCAGCAGGCACCTTCACCCACAGAGCCAGTATCTCTGACCTGCCCCACATTAACATTTTAAGCAAAGCAGCACAGGGAACTCAATCAGAGGGACACAGGAAAGGGACAGCAACTATGGGACTCTGGATCCATGTGTTCCTCTCTCTCTTTTTCTGACTCCCAGTCTGGTTCTCTAATGCCATATTCCTTTCCTAGCCTTTTCTGAAAACTCTCCTTTTCGCAGAGAGCTCTCTGCATCCTGATTAGAAAAAAAAAAGTGACTTCTGGTTTGGCTCTGTCACTCCAAACATCTCTACTGTCTCCCTTTCCTTCTCCATTACATGCATGTTGACAGTGTGGACATATCCCTCCCTTGTGCTGCCCCACCCACCACTGTTGTCCAACGGGGAAGTAGGCTGTTCTACCCACACCCATCCCTCTTAGGTGTGAGCATGGGCAGGGGCTCCTACAACCCGAAGCGCCAGACCAACATCCTGATTCCAAGGGCCCTCCTAGAGCTCTCCTGACACTGTGGTGGTGCTGGCCAGTCCAGAAGGCAGGCACTCCCTGGATCCTCTGCTCTGCTCCAGTAACCTCCACTGCCTTTTGATGGCCACATCCAATTCTTCTGCCTCTCTGTCCACCTTCTTCTGGGTCAATGGCTCTGGAGACAGCATGCTGAGTACTGATGGTGCTGCAATTCCTGTCCAGATCCTTGTTCTGAGGATCATGGTTGCACTGGCCTATGGACTTGTAGGTATCATTGGCTTGCTGGGAAATTTGGCTGTACTGTGGGTGCTAGGTAACTCTGGTCAGCGTGTACCCGGCCCACCTTCTGACACCTTTGTATTCAGCCTGGCTCTGGCAGACTTGGGACTGGCCCTCACTCTCCCTTTCTGGGCAACCAAGTCAGCAATGGACTTCCACTGGCCTTTCCGAAGTGCCTAGTCGTGACGACCACTGTCCTCAGCATCTACGCTAGCACCTTCCTGATTACAACACTGAGTATCTCAAGATACTCGGTGGTGGCCATGGCTGTGGGACCAGGTAGTCACCTCTCAGTCTTTTGGGCCTGTATGGTCACCCTGGCAGTGTGGGTGGCAGCTGTCCTGGTGACTGTACCCACAGCAATCTTTGGGACTGAGGTTGAGTTGTGGGGTGTGCACCTCTGTCTTCTGCGTTTCCCCAGCAGATACTGGCTGGGGACTTACCAGCTACAGAGGGTAGGTCTGGCTTTCATTGTGCCCTTGGGCATCATTAGCACCAGCTACCTGCTGCTGTTGGCCTTTCTACAGCGGCAGCAACGATGCAGGCCCCAACACTGCCAAGTGGTAGCCCGCTCTGTCGGTATCCTGGTGGCTTCCTTCACCCTCTGCTGGTTTCCCAACCATGTAGTCACTCTCTGGGAAATTCTGGTAAGGTTTGACCTGGTGCCCTGGGACAGTACTTTTTTTTTTTTTTTTTTTTTTTTTTTGGTTTTTCGAGACAGGGTTTCTCTGTGTAGCCCGGGCTGTCCTGGAACTCATTCTGTAGACCAGGCTGGCCTCAAACTCAGAAATCCGCCTGCCTCTGCCTCCCAAGTGCTGGGATTAAAGGCGTGCGCCATCACTGCCCGGCGGGACAGTACTTTCTACACCATCCATACTCACATCCTTCCACCACCTGCTTGGCACACAGCAATAGCTGCCTCAACCCTGTAATCTATTGTCTCCTCCAGCCAGAACCCCAGCAGGTTCTTGTCAGCTCCCTCAGAGGTCTCTGCTCAAGACTGTGGCCCCAGAGCAAGGCCTGCATTGAACAAATGGCCCTCAAAGAGGTAGGTGAGAGATGGGTCACTAGCACCCAGGAGTGTGGCTCTTGTACAACACACACAAACACAACTGAACACCTTCATGAAAGATGCAACCTGAACACTCTCCTTTCTGAGACCTGTCAGGGGCAGAGCCCACAGATTCTAGGGAGGAGCTGCTCTCTCTGCCAGGCTGCAGTGTCCCCAGGAAAACTCTGATCTTTGATCACCAACTCTGGGTGTGACAGATCTGAGAAGCTGGAGTCTGAACAGGAGGCGGATGTGGCAAAGCTTATCTCTGGAGATGGCAAAGAGGAACTGAGAATAAACCAGATCATCCACAGACTGTCTTGACATTTCATGCAAGTATTTTACGGATAATGTCCATTACTGGTGTGGACTAACAGGTCAGGAGTCGGTTCTCCCTGCACACTTTAGAACAGGGCACCCATTATGCCCCTTTGGTACCAAAATGAAAAATGTTTTCTCTAGCCACTCAGCCTTTTGTCATCTCAGGGGTGCACATAGAAACGATGTGGAAGCCCCCCCTTCAACATTTGTCTGGAGTTTTGCTGCCACAAGATGCAAGGGCAGAGCTCCGTAGAATCTTGGTTACATGTTAGACTCTGAGTGTCTCGCCTTTGAGAATAGCAAATAGGTCTGGCTCTTTCAGTCAAGGATGGAAGGGAAAGCCACGGGTCAGGGGTGGAGGGAGTCAAGAGGTATAGAAAAGGTTTAGAGGCTGAGGGTCAGAGACCAGAGACTAGTCTCTTCAAGTACGTCTGCATTTCAGCCAAGTGCCAGAGCATGTGGGCTGGAACCCTCCCCTCAGGCAAATTACTTCAAGTCAGTTCTCCTTTTAAATCTGGAGTTTCATGATACCCTGGCCAGTCTCAAACTCTAAAGCTGAGGGTAGCTTGGAACTCTCTAATCTTGATCCCAAATGCTAGAATTATAGGCATGTACCAACAAGTTGAGCTTTTAAAATTCAGATAATTTCTGCCTACTCTCCATTCCTGTGTGTGTATGTATGTACATTTGTGTTCACACTTGCGTGTGTGAATGTCAGAGGTAGATAAGTTTTCTTTCTCTTTGCTTGTTTTGTTTTGCTTTAAATTGAGACAGGGTCTTACTACCTAACCTCAGCTGTCCTGGAATTCACTCTGTAGACCAGGCTATCCCTTGAACTCAGAGACTCACCTGCCTCTGCCTCCCATGTGCTGGAATTCTAGGCATGTGCCACTGCACCGTGCTTTGATTTTTTTTTTTAAAAATTATATTTAATTCAAGTGGATTTGGACAAGGAGACGTTCCAAAGGTACGTGGAGATCAGAGGACAGCCGAGAGTTTGTTCTTCCCCTTCCACCAGTGGAGATCAGAGGACAGCCGAGAGTTTGTCCTTCCCCTTCCTCCAGTGAAGACTCCGGAGGGAGTTATTAGGCTCTCAGGCTCACCAGCAAGATCTTTACCCTGTGAAGCAGTTTTCTAAACCCACCACGTGTGTTTTTTTTTTTTTTTTTTTTCCTTGTTGTTGGTTTGGTTTTTTTCAGGGACTAGGTTTCTCTATGTAGCCCTGGGTGTTCTGGAACTCACTCTGTGGACCAGGCTGGCCTCGAATTCAGAGATTCACCTGCCTCTGCCACCCAAGTGCTGGAATTAAGTGTCCACCACCACTGCCTGGCCTGGGAACCAGATTTAGGTCCTGTGGAAGATCAGCAAACACTCTTTTGACTCCTGAGCTAGCTCTCCAACCCCATCTTATTTTTGAGTAAGACTCTCTTCCCGAACCTGAGACTTACCAATGAGTCAAATGCTGTGGTGCTGCTGTACCTGGCTTTCCTGTGGGTGCCAGGTCCTCAGGTCCTCATGTATGCATGACAACTACTGGATTTGAAAAGGTATTTTTTAAGTCAGTTAAATATTATAACAGGAATACAAATAGTTAAAATTCCAGGTCAGCTAGCTCTCTAACCCAAGGCCATTACAGGAGATGCAGAACAGAAAAACAAAGGTCAATTGAGTGTTCCGAGAATCTGTTCCCGTGGTGTCTGACAGCCTCCTCTGGAAAAACTCCCACCAGAGGTCCCAAGGCCACAGGGACCAGAGATTATTCTCGTGAGATTTGTCAAACCTCTGCCTGAGATCTGCTTACACATATTATAGACATTTATAACAACCAATTGTGTGTGACTACCCACAACCCTCTCCCTCCCCCAGCCTTTGTCTATAAAAACCCTAAACTGTTAGATCTCAGGGTCGAATCCTCTGTCTCCTATGTGAGATACGTTTCGATCCGAAGCTTCATATATTAAAAAGAACCTGACTTATGTTATTACAGCAAGAGGTCTCTGGAGTGTCTTTGGGGGTCGCGTTGTACCCGAGGCTATTTTTGGTTCTGGAGAGTCTTTCAGATTGAGTCATCTCTGTGTGCAGTTAGTTCAGACTGGCCTCCAACCAAATATATTGCCACAGCTGGTCTTGAACTCCTGACTCTCCCAAGTACTGGGGTTACAGAAAGGTGCTGCCATGCATAACTTTCTGCCTGTTTTCTAGAGGCTGGGAATCCATCTCAGTTAATGGAGTGCTTGTCTAATCCCTTAAATCCAAGATCTTCTTAAACAGAATAAAGGGTTCAGGACCAGCTTGGTGTCTAGACAGTCTCCAAAAATAAGAGGATCCAGCAGTGCCAGAGGCAGGGTTCCTAGTGTTGGCACCTTCCATGGAGAATGGGAAGGAGAAAACAAGGGCCACTGGCAGACAGGTACAGGTGAGCCACTGAGGCCTCAATGTTATCTTATATGTCCTAATTTATGGACTATGTCTCATGATCTGGTCACGCATACCCACACATGCGCACCACAGACACACATCCGTAATAAAATCATTACCAGCAAGATGGCACAGCAGGGAAAATACATAGTACATAAGCCTGACGTCGCCACACAGTCTCGAAAATTAGAGACAACAGCAAAAACAAATACAGAGCGGTAGCTGGTGGTAAAGAACTTGGAGCACATGTGCTGAGTTCCCGAGTTCAAGTTCTAGCACCCAATATAAAAACACCGGATCCAAGAGTGCTGGAGAGGAAGGCAGGAGGCCCGGAGACCCTCTGGCAGCCTAGGCAAATTGGCATTCTCCTCACTTGGTCTCAAAAAAAACAAAACAAAACCAAAAACCAATCAGGTGAAGAGCAATCAAGGTTGAAACTAACATTAAACTCTGCTAAGAGATAGACACTAACTAAAGGGTCAGTCCTCCCAAGCGCTCTTTGCAATTGTCTCCTGAGCAGAGGGTACACTTTTGGTTTCCGTAAACATTTAAAACCATAACGACCTAAGTTGTCTATTAGAAACGATCTTGCTTGGGGGCTACTTCAAGAAAGGAGGAGGCAGCAGACAGATGGAGCTCCTACTCCACCCCTCCCTTCAGGACCTGGCTCCGGGGAAGCATTGTAACCAGGTTGCAACTAGCCACTCAAGGCCGCAGCAGCTGTAAAGAAGCTGCAATACCCGCAGGCACCACGTCGCGCCCCACAGTTGCTGAGCAGCGTTAAGAATCACCCAACTCACAACGTATTAAAGGATGGAAACAAGACTTAATTAGCCTCTTGATGTTTAATTTCCTCTTTATGATAATGTTTAAACTGGCTCCCAAATGCCAGGTCTATCCCTAGCCATCCAGGAAGGAGGGTAATCCTCCCCACCTAAGCGTTCTTCCTCCTGCCCCCCTGCAGCGGAGCTGCAGGCCTGGCTGGGTCCGGATATTGCCTTTTCTGGGGGTATCTGCTTTACAGAACCCTGGGGGTATAGCCCTAATTTTGAGAGGGCAGCATAGAGCACTGCGTGTTCAGGCTTAGACCCTCCTTTAAGGGAGTAGCGTGGTTTAAAGCAAAAAGCTGAACCCTGGCTCTCAGAGGACACAGTCAGAGGTTTGAAATGGCAGCAGGGGAGGGGGACAAAAAATAAGACTTTAGTTTTAGAAAGTGGGATTAGGGAGGAGACAAACAAGGGACAGACAGTGACAGGAGGGTGGGAAAGGCTCTGGGCTGATGCTGGGTTGGGGCTATGATAATAAGGCAACAGGAAAGCAGTCTCTCCCACCTCATACTCTGAAAATCCATCTTAGGTTCTAGGTTCTTCTGCTAGCCCCTCTGGGAAAGGCTGGGAAACTGTCCTGCTTTTCTCCTGACTCTCTAACAGTCTCCTCCACCTGACCCATGCTTGGGCCCAGATGCTTAGTGCTACCTCCAACACAGCTGCTGAGTGAGCATCAGTAGGCTTGAAACTTTAGTGTTGCTGTTTGTTAGGCAGAGGAAGCGGGTCTTGGCATGGCACCATTTTTGCATCCATTGTGTAAAAGAAAAACAAGGTCGGCTGGGCATACTGGCTCGTGCCTGTAATTTCAGTATTTGAGAGGCCGAGGCGAGAGGATTGCCTTGAGTCCAAGGCCGGCCTGGGCTTCACTGCAAGACGTGGTCTCAAAGATAATACTAAATAATAATAAACATATAAAACAACTCCTATGGCCCAAGAATCCCATGATTAGAGAGAAAGTGCCTCCTAAGGGCCAGAAGCTGCTGGTGGGGAAGGAAGCAATCCCACTAAGCCTGCTGCCCGGGCAATTTCAGTTCCCCTTCTCAGTGGAGTCCTGAGCCCCTTCTCACTCTGCCTCCCAGGCTGTGGGGGTGCGCATGCGCACTGTCCCTGCCCATCGGTCCAAGCATAGGACCTAGAAACAGGAAGTGGAATGAGCCAAAACCAAGAACTGAAACCAATTACTGCCTTTCCAAGAGACAGACTGCTACTAGGCCCTGCGCTCTGACGGGGGGAATGAAAATGGGCAGGAAGGGGAAGAAAGAGGTGGCAAGAGCCAGATGTGCTGTCCAAGCACAGCATACAAATAAGATGCAAACGAGTTTTCTGATGTCTGCATCATTAACAGCCGCTGGAGGCTGAACGGCGCTTCATATCCAGCCTTGCAATTTTGAGATTTTTAATAAGTTTGAGCAGCTGCATCCATTCATGCCCTCTTCAGTGAGGTAGTGACAGCCCCTTTTCAGAAACCGTGGTCACTGCCTGGCTGTAGGCACCGCAGTCCTCAGAATGGGCACTGAGACAGCACCTCATGCGTTTCAGGTCTTTAATTTTTCCCTGCTTGAGCTTTTTCTTTCTTTTCTTGGTTGTTACTGTTTGTTTTGTTTTTTAACAATTAAATTGGCAGACAAATGGCTATCGCTGGTGGACATTAGGGTTGCATTGAAAAAAAAAATCCCCCTCCCCCAATTCTTGCTTACGTTTCAAACGCAGTCACCACGGTGGAGATTAGGTGAGGGTTCATAGAGATTTCCCAAACCCACCTTAGAGCTTCTTTCAAATGGCTGAGGAAGAATTCCGAATAGGAGCCCCTGACTGTCGATGAAATAAGTCATGCTCTCCCTAATTCCTCGGGTTCAAAGACATGGAGCTAGAAGTGCCTACAATCTTCTTTAAAAATATAAAACAGGTGCGGCTGGCTTTGGTACAAAACAAAACAAACAAAAAACAAAAAAAATCCCAAAAGACAAAAAAATAAAAACAAAATTATCTGGTCCCTGTAGATTCTTCCTTCCCCACCCCAATATATTATGGCCACCCTAGCCTCTGTTCCATCAACTCCAAGGAGCCAGATTTCCATGGAGGATGAAGAGAAAAAACAGCAGAAAGAGGCTAAGGGGGTGGAAAAAGGGACATGGTCCTACTCACAGCCCTCCTTAAAGGGGCAGTAGGTTCTGTGGCCACAGAAGGGTGTCACTGGGGTGAATGTTAGGCTGTATGGCTAAGGCCAAACGTATCCCATCAGTATTACAGGAGAGGCCCTCCGATTCGTATGGCTTGGTTCCCATGTCCCTGGCCCTTTAAATCACTCTCCCCCCCATAACCAATAAACAATAAATAAATAATTTTTCCTAAGTGGGGGGAGAAGGCATGAAAATCGGCATCTGTGGTGTGGCTGCTGGCAGACACCAGGAGTGCGGTGGCCTCTAAGTCCCCAAGTCCCCAAGGCCCCTAGGTATCCAGGGATCTCAGGAACTGGCAAGGACAATCAGCAGTTCTTTCAAGGTTTGCCCCCTTTACTAATGTTCTTCAGTGGGGCACCAGGCAGGGGGAAAGTGTCCCCTTAGCTCTCTGAAGCCGTAGGCTCCCCATCTCGGCTTTCCGTCTCTTCAGGAATGTCCTGCATTCGAGTGAAGTCTGGAAGGTGAGAGACAGGGGTAGAGTGAGCAGGCAGGCTCTCCCAAGAGTAGTAGCACAGTCTCACACAAAGGCCCCTAGGGTGGGGGTGGGGGCCTCTGAGCACCTTGGCCGGATGACCCTTGGGCAGTAAAGTCACCATTATAACAGGAAATTCTAAGAGGCATTTCATTCCTTCTAGTTTCCTCACTTTAAAGGGAAGTCTTTAAGCTGTTTTACTTTACAATGGATTTCTACTACTTGTAAAGGTTGGGAGTCGCCAATCAACCGGAACACACTGCTTCTCAAGGGTTCTACCACCAGTCTACTCACAGAGTGGGAAGCCAGAATCACCAAGCCTCAGGAGTCACTTAGAGTACATTCAGAAGTCACAATCCAAAGGGCGTGGACCCAGACACCACAACCACTCTAGGGTCTCACCTCGTGGACTGTGGGGTGGAGACAGGCGGCTACTGACTTCCTCCTCACTACCAGTATCAGGGTCACTGCTGTCCTGCAGTCGATCCTCTGGGCTACCAAGTTCTTGTGCCTCTCGGTCATCAAAGGGTCGGTGGAGGGAACGAACAGTCACAGGCAAATCCAGGCGATCGTGGCCTCGACTGGGCTGTGGAAGGAAAAGCACAAGTTCAGGCACCAGCGGGTGAGAGCAGTGAGCCCCCCAGGCCCTAACACACCTTGTCTCTTGGGGTTCACTAATGACTTCCTCTCTCAGTAGATCCACCACCCACTGAGATCACCACTCGATATCCTTGAACATTCTATATCTGCTGGGCTCCAGTTGGCCTTCATATGCAAGAACTCCATGTACCCATAATGCCCCACAGAGACTAATAGCAGAAATGTTTGTTTGCTTGTTGGAACTGCTGGAGATTTACACAGGCCTCTGCACTAAACTTAGCCTTAAGTTTCTTTTCAGTTCAACTAGTACTTTTTTTTTTTTGGGGGGGGGGGGTGTTTCAAGACAGGGTTTCTCTGTGTAGCCCTGGCTGTCCTGGAACTCACTCTGTAGACCAGGCTGGCCTCGAGCTCAGAAATCCGCCTGCCTCTGCCTCCCAAGTGCTGGGATTAAAGGCGTGCGCCGCCACCGCCCGGCTCAACTAGTACTTTTTGTCTACATGTGTATGCACTTGTGAATAAGGCAGAGGTCATGTTAGACCTGAGAAAAAAACATTTCCACAATTGTATGATTAAAGAAAGCAAGCTATATATAGATGTGCACAAGGGTCTGGCCAGATGACTGCCTCCCCCTAGTCAGGGTTTCAGAGAGCAGCCCCTCACTGCCTTTTGAGGTCCTTTTTACCAGAAAGGGTTTGGGTTGATTAAACAATTGCTTAGATTGGTGTGAACACCTGGACGGAAGAGTGGGGGATTCAGGGCCCAAGGCTGCCTGCCGGATAGCTGAGTGCGAGAATACATTGTGTGGAAGGGGAGTCGTCACCAGTGTTCAGGAGTTTAGCAAGGCACAAAGGGGTGGGATAGCATCATGGGGTTACAAGTTCAGCATAACTTGAAAAACACCCTGTGCAGGATACAGTAGGCTTAGGAAACAAACTTTATCTTGTAAGGTATGGAGATTTAGCGCAACGTGTAACAAAGTGGTTCCTTAGCAACAATGTGGGTCCTTAGCAACAGTGAGGCCTCTGTTGGGTTTTATCCTCAACCTCTGGTGCCATTCCTTTTTTTTTTTCCTTCATATTTTCTTTTAAAGATTTATTCACTTTTACTTTATAGGCATTGGTGTTTTCCCTATATGTATGTGAGAGGATGCCTGATCCCTAGAACTGTATGTGGGTGCTGAGACTTGAACCTGAGTCCTCTGGAAGAGCAGTCAATGCTCTTAGGAGCCATCTCTCCACCGTGAAAGATGGTCGTGGCTAGAGACAGCCTGGCTGTTTCTTTTACTTCTTTCTTTTAAATTTTGTGTACTGTTGTTTCACCTCCATGAATGTATGAGGGTGTTCGAAACCTGAGAATAGGCATTATATACAGTTGTGAGCTGCCATGTGGTTGCTAGGAATTGAACCCAGGTCCTCTGGAAGAGCAGCCACTGCTCTTAACCTCTGAGCCATCTCTCCAGCCCGAGGTGTCATGTCTTTAGCATGGTGGTGGTGGTGGTGGTGCACCCCTTTAATCCCAGCACTCAGGAGATGGAGGCGGAGTTTGCCAGGCAAGGCAAACTCTGTGAGTCTGAGTCTAGAGTGAGTTCCAGGGCAGTCAAAACCATCACAGAGAAACCCTGTGTAGAACAGAACCCCTGCCCCTGCCAAAAAAAAAAAAAAAAAAAAAAAAAGAAAAAAAAAAAAGTCATCTTCTTTGTTTTATGACACAGGGTCTCCTATTGGAGCTCACCAAAGGAGCTAGGCTGGTTGGCCAATGAGCTGGGAGGGTGAGCCTGCATCCTGCATCTGCCTCCCCAGCGCTGGGATTGTGAGCATGTGTACCACATGACAAGGCAACTGGGGGATCAAACTCAGGTTCTTGTGTTTACATGGTAAGCATTTTACCAAGGGACACAAATCTGTTGCCTGCTGTCACTTGGGTTCCAATCCCTGACAGGTTCTACAGGCTTGAGTGTCACACCACTACTCCAGGCGGCCTTACCTGGGGGGGATTGAAGCTCAAGTATAGAGCGTCGCCCGCTGGAAGGCTGCGGCGCCGGGGGTCCACAGGCCTGCGAGCCCAGGGTGCTTCTGCTGGGAGTGGCTCGTTTTGGCCCAAGGCTGCTAGCTGTCTGCGGATTTCTTCAGCCTCTCGCTCCAGCAGGGCCCGGGCTTGCTCGCTCTCTCTGAGCCTGGCCTCCAGGCTGCCAGCTTCAGTTGCCCGCTCTTCCCCAAGCCGCTGGCAGCGCCGCAGCTCTTCCTGCAACAGGGTGTGTTGCCTCTGCAGTAACGCCAGCTCCGTGGCCTGCTTCTCGGGAGCTACAGAAGCAACGGCAGCCCGACCAGCTTCACCATCCCGAGAGTTGGCTCGGGATAGCTTTTCCCACCGTTCAGGGCCCTCAGGGAACAGGGCTTCCATCAATCTTTCCTGCTGGACCACAACAGCCTGGAGGATGGGATGAGGCCAAAAGGTGCTTCAGAAGCCATTTCTACGCACTTTTCTCTCAATCCCAGACCCTGACAGCTTGGCTTGGGAGAGCACTTAACCCTGTTAGGAGGGCTGTCATCTGCATTGACACCTCTGGGTGGCTCCTCCCTTTCTTCCCCACTCCAGCTCTGGCTCACTGACCTGCAGGCCATGTAGAAGTCCATAAAGATTGACCAATGGCTGTAACACCTCCTGAGGACAGAGGAGAGGATGCAATAGTACCAGGCTTCAGGATGGGGTGAGTACCAGAAGTTATCAAGAGGGTTCGGAAACAACGTCTAGAGACAGACTTAAAAGTATAGATTCTCCCCTAAATCAACCAAACTGGGCTATGGTTTCTCAGATCGAGAGCAGCGTCCCTCTGTCTCCTCTACCACAGCATTCCCATCTCACCTCCTGTGGTGACCTCAACTGATTTCCATTCCGATCCTACAGAAATGAACAAGAATGGGGAGTCAGCGGGCACAGACCTGGGGGCCTTCCTCAGCAGCTGTCTACTGAAGATCCACAGGCCAGCTGTGCCCTTTCTCTGGCCAGTCCCTGGCTCTCCAAGAACCCACCTTCTGGCTGGAATCTGAGTCTGCTCTACAGAGCTCAATGGAGCCATTGAAGGTTCTGGCCTCTCCATCTGTTGCAGAAAAGAGGAGGAGTAGGATATACGTCTTCAGGGGCCCCGGGACCCCTCCTCCCTTACGAAGCCACTCCCATCTTGCTTTCATGCCCTGTACTCACTGGCAGTGACCCCAGGACAGCTACCACTGTCAGATTCTAAGGGTAAGGCTGGTTCTCGGGATGTCAAAGGCAGGTCCACACAAGGGCCCAACAGTAGGTCTTTCAGGCCTTCCACTAACGGGAAAGAAGAGAAGACAGGAGACAAAACCCAGTGGGAATCCATCCAACACATGCCATCCAAGTTCTTAGGGAGTTCACATTTGGGTAGTGTGGGGTTTCAGTCGGCCGTGTAGTATCCAAGGGACATTGAAAATGTTCAAGAGGCAGCACAGCCTGCCCAAGGGAGAGGCATCCAACAGCAAGCTCAGATCTCTTCCCCTTTCCTTCCAAGAATTAGACCAGAAAAAATCCAAAACCCTTTATAGGTGGTGGTGTTGAATGAACTGCTAGACTCTTTAGTGGCCCTCACCTTCACGGAGGGCATCTTTCAGCAGACGCTCGCCTCGAAGGGACTCAAAGGACTCAAGACGGAAAAGGCCCCTGGGCAGGGCAGGTGGGGGCATTCCAACGAAACCAGCTTTTAACGCCTGGAAGTGGACCATCTCAGCAAACAGCTCAACATTCTTCTGTAGTAGCTCCACCAGTGCCTGGTTTTTCTGCTGCAATTTCGCTGTAGATAGGAACAGGTGAGTGTGGAAGGACCCAAGGACCCAAAGAGCCTGTGAAGGGCAGCCCAGGATCAGCAGAGGGGCAGCCCAGGGTCAGCAGAGGGGCAGAACTTAATTTTGGGCTTGGAGCATTCCCAAAAACAAAAACAAAAAAATCTTGTGTATGTGATGTAAATCACCATTACTTTTGTTTATAAAAATCTATGAATAGGGGCTGGAGAGATGGCTCAGCGGTTAAGAGCACAAGCTGCTCTTCCAAAGAACCTGGGTTCAATTCCCAGCAACCAAATAGTAGCTCACAAGGGTCTATATAGCTCCAATTCCAGGTGATCTGGCAGCTTTAAACACAAATGCAGGCTAAACATCAATGCAGATAAAATAAAAGTAAATAAAGCTTAAAAAAAAAAAAAAACCTTCAGTGATAAAGGGTTCAGGTTGGCCACCTCGCGTCCCCTCCATTTCCTTCCATGAGAGCATTACAGAGCTGCTCACTCAGGGCGAGCACAGTAACTTGCAGTTAGACACAGCTAGATGGCCTCTGGACATTGGTTTGTAACTTGCAGTTAGACACAGCTAGATGGCCTCTGGACATTGTTTTTTTTTTTTGCTTGTTTTTGAGACAAAGTCTTGTGTAGCTGAGGCTGGCTTCAAACTCCTTATATAGCTGAGGATATCCTTTGTGGTAATTTGAGATGTTCCTACCCCTCCCCTCCACCCCCAGGCACAGGCATTGGAATACTTAGTTCCTAGTGGGTGGCTGTTTGGGGAGGGTTAGGAGGTGGAGCCTTGCTGGAGGAAGTGTGTCACTGGGGGCAGGTTTTAGAGTCTCCAAGGACTCACACTTCCTCAGCTGTTGCAGTGGTCACATCTGCCACCTGCTATCCCCACCATTAAGAACACTAACCCCCTGGAACCGTCAGCCCCAAAGAAGTCCTTCCTTCTTTGAGTGGCTTTGGTCGTGGTGTCTTATCATAGCAATATAAAAGGAACTAGGGCAGCCTTGAACGCCTGATCCTAGCACTATGGACCCCACATGCCGGGATTGCAAGGGTGCATGCACCACCACAGCCTGCTCTCATTAAAAAAACAAGTTTGTTTAAAATTGTCTAACTTTGGCCAGGCGGTGGTGGCGCGTGCCTTTAATCCCAGCACTTGGGAGGCAGAGGCAGGCAGATTTCTGAGTTCGAGGCCAGCTTGGTCTACAGAGTGAGTTCCAGGACAGCCAGGGCTACACAGAGAAACCCTGTCTCGAAAAACAAAACAAAAAAAAAATTGTCTAACGTTTTAAAATTTTTGTTTGTTTGTGTTTCAAGACAAGGTTTCTCTAATGTGTAATAGCCCTGGCTGTCCTGAAACTAGATTTGCAGACCATGTTAGCCTCTGCCTCCCAAGTGCTGAGATTAAAAATTATGGCCATCAAGCCCAGCATTAACCTTTATTTTTAATCATATGGGTGTTTTGCCCACATGTATGTCTATGTACCGTGTACATCTATGCATCATGTGCGGGCACTGCCCTCAGAGGCCACAAGAGGGCATTAGATGCCCTTGGGACATAGAGATATTACTCTATTTTATACACACACACATACACACACACCTATTTGCCCTAATCTTACAAAATTGTAGCATATACTTAACATTGTTTTAAACCTGACTTTTTTCAGTTGATGGTTTATTTTGGAATAAATCTGTAGCAGCCCACATGAAGCTTTCATTTTTTCCCTAAGATTATTTTATTCTGTGTATGAGAGTTTTGCCTGCATATAGGTATATGCATCATGCATGTGCCTGGTGACTGAGGTGGCCAAGGGCATTAGAGAGCCACTGAACTGGAGTTAGACAATTGAGAGTCACAAAGCTGGTGCTGAGAATCAAACCTGAGCCCTCTGAAGGAGAAACCAGTTCTTTTAATATGTGAGCCATCTCTTTAGCCCATCTCGTCTTTTTGAAAGCAACACGATAGTTTTCGTGGAGGATATGGTGTAAATCAACCCACTCCCTGGAGGGAACTTACTCTTGATCCTCCGGAGGTACGCCTTATCCTCTGTCTCGATCAGAGGGAAGTCCTCCCTAGACGGGCATCTGCAGAGCAATAGGCAGGTTGGATTTGTGGAAAAGACACCAGCCGTCAGTTTTCCCTCCTCTGCACACGTTCTATAGGACCCACCTCTTATACCGTGGCGTAAGTCACTCTTTGACCTAATCCTCATCTCGCTCTTACTGGTCAGGCCTACAAAGGTTAAGACAAGCCTGCGTCCATCTCTATCTGATTGTTATGTCGGGAGAGGCATTTTGTCAGCTTGTTATTTTTTTCAACTTCTGATCCTTTGTGGGTTGCTGCTCTGATTTATGTGGTGCTGGGGGAGGGGCCCAGGCTTCCAGAGCACCAGGCAGGCACTCTGACAACTGAGCCACAACTGAGCTATTGTGCTCACTGTGTTGGAGGGTTTTGTTTTGGTTTAGTGTGGGTTTTCCAGACAGGGTTTCTCCTGTAGCTCTGACTATCCTGAAACTCTGTAGACCAGGCTGGCTTTGAACTCAAGAGATCCACCTACCTCTGCCTCTCAAGTGCTGACATTAAAGGCATGCGCCACCACTGCCAGGCCTGTTTGTAATTTTTAAGCTAGGACCTCAGCCCAAGCTGGACCTGAACTCTTTATGCATTAAGGTTGACCTTTAACGCTGACTCTTTCTGCCTCCACTTCCCAGGTGTTGGGGCTATAGGTGTTCATGCCACACCAGGCTGTTTTCAACATTTTGGAGAAAAGGTGTTCAGCTCACTAACATCAATGCTTTAATCACCCCACAGTACGCGTGGCTGGCACTGTCACTGGCTGACAGGTCTGCCAACACCATCTTGGAGGGGTAGCTGGGTTATCTGGATATAAATGAGAACTTTTCATGTGAACTTTCTATCGTGACTCATCTTGTCTATCCCAGCTTCTGCCCCAACCTCTCACGATGAGTTTAGTTCCCAGGAAGTATTCCGCCTAGCACCTGAAGCCACATGTACACGCAGGCACACACTCACAGGCGCACACTCTGCTGGATGACGCGGATCCAGGTAGTGCGGTCATCTCGGGATGCTGCGTGCACCTCATACATTTCAGGTGGACCAGAACTAATCAGAAACATCCCTTTCGCCTGGTTGGCAATGTCTCTTACGATGAGATTCTGCAAGGATACCACTGAGGGCTTGTCCTGTCAGGGAAATGGAAGAATTAAGCCAAGGAATCCTAATCCTTAATATCTGGGTTTTCAGTCCTAGAATACCAAAAGACTTGAAGATGATGCTATACATGTAAGACCCCAAGCGTCAGTACCAGCCAGGACAATTTGGATGTGCATGAGTCCCTCGATACATTCATATTCATATTCTGTCTGTCTCCGTCTCTCACTCTCTCTCATGGGTCTCACTATGTGTTCAACTGGTATTGAACTCATTATGAACCCAAAACAGCCTCAGAGTTGTAGCCTTGGCCTCTGCTTTCCCAGTTCTGGAACTGTAAGCTTGTGCCTTCACTTTTGTGTGCTTCACTTTTCTTGTTGCTGCTGTTTTTAAGACTAGGTCTCACTCTGTGACCCCTGACCGGCTTGGAACTTGCTGTGTTGACAAGGCTGACTTGAACTCAGAGATTTACCTACCTCTGCCTCCCAAGTGCTGGGATTAAAGATGTACTCCACCACTGCAATGGTAAGCTTACCTACTTACTTTTTAGATACAGGGTCTCATGGAGTCTAGGCGGGACTTGAACTCACCATGTGGTTTGAGATGGCCCTGGACTCCTGATCCTCCTATCCGTAACTCCCAAGAGCTGCCATTAGACAGGCATGTACCCCTTCATCATCTACAAAATGATGCTAATGACAGCTTCCCTGACAGGGTAAACATGCCTGAGCACAGGAGTGACACCTGGCAGTGATCTTACATTTTATTATATAGAACTAACAGCTATTACAGGTATTTGACTGAGTAAGACTTTCTTGGGCTTGCTAAGAAAATCGAGGTATAAGAGAACTGAAGAAGGCTCACCAGGGATGTGAAGATGTATTTCTGGTCCTTTTCCTGGAGAAACACCAGCACATCTGTCATTAGCAGTAACAGGACATCTGGCCAAGACACAAAGTGGAAAAATGGTCAGCACTAAAGGCTCAAAGCCACTGTCTGCCCCTCTCCGAGGACCAGGAGCACCTTCTCAGGCTGTCTCCCAGTCTCCCCAACCCGTCTCTCATGTCTCCCATTGCTTCCTTCATCTTTCCTGACCTCTGACCTCCAACCTCACCATACCTTTTTTTTTCTTTTTTTCAATGTTTCTAGACAGGGTTTCTCTGTATAGCCATGGCTGTCCTGGAACTCACTCTGTAGACCAGGCTGGCCTCGAACTCAGAGATCTGCCTGCCTCTGCCTCTCAAGTGTGGCCACCACTGCCTGGCTCAACCTCCTCATTTGTTCAACATGGAACTAGAGGGAAAGAGAGAGTTGCCTGTGCTACCAGACAAAACAGCCCCTTGGGCCAGCAAGGAGCACAAAGGAACTCTTGCCTCAACTGGTTCAGAATTGTTTGCTTTTTGTTTTGTTTTGTTTTGTTTTGTTTTGTTTTTTAATCATCCAGTTTTAGTCAGGTGTGGTGATCCCAGCACTCCTGAGGTAAAGGCAGGCAGATCACTAAAAGTTTGTCAGCCGAGTTTACAAATCATGTTCTAGGCCTGTCAGAACTACATAGCAAGATACTGTCTAAAAAGAATAAGTAAGAAATAAAAAAGGAAGAAAAAAGAAAAAGCCCAATAAATAAATAAATAAATAAAACCAACAATACCAAAAAAAAAAAAAATCTAAATCACCCAATTCTGATTCTTTGAAGTTTATTTTGTATGTATAAGTGTTTTTGACTGCATGTGTGTCACATGCATGTAATCCCCACAGATGCTGAAAGAGGGCATTGGATCCCCTGGAACTGGAGTTACATAGTTGTAAATTGTAAGCTGCCATGTGGGTGCTGAGAACTGAACCCAGATCCTTTGCAAAAACAGCAAGTGTTCCTAACCACTGAGCTGTTGCTTCAGCCCAACTCATACTTCCTAATCTAGAGTCTTCGGTGCCCCCCAGAAAAGCCATCCTTGTTCTAGAGGCTCTGTAAACTGGCTGCTGTCACATAAACACTTACTTACACATTAACATACAGGTTCAAGTGATCTTCCTGCTTCAGCTCTTGGATAGCTGAACTACAATCAAGTACAAGCAGGACTTGCTTGATCCAAGATTTTTCTAAGTCATAGGATTCCCAGAACAAGACAAGTGGTGTTCTTTGCCTTTAAGTTCCTTGTCTGGCATCTGACTAATGCAAGCACCTTTTTAGGTATTCTAATACACTGACATATTCCTGTCTCTTTGCAAAAGAGAGGGACAAAGTCAGTTTCCTTCCAGGAGAGCAAACTGCAGACCACCCGTCACCCATGGCCTCTGACTAATCTCATCCCTAACCCTAGCGGGCCCTGCTTCAGTTTCTTTCTCTTGCCTCACCCTCTGGGCTCTTAGACTGTCATGGTTTCTGCACTCAGAGGAAGGGAGGAACCAAAGACCAATTCTTCAAGACCTGAAAGCCACAGTCAGGAACACACAGTCACCCTTTGCCTGTGGGGATTTTTACTAAACCGTGGACACAGAAGGGGAGGGCTTTGCTAATCGCTCAGAAACAGAGCTCTCCAGCCTTGCTATTTTTACCCCTCAATGCTTTATATTCTTAGCTGCTGCGTGGGAGGGATGGGAAGGAGAGAGAGGGATGGAGGAGAGAGCCTAGTAAGGACTGACAGGACTCAGGCCCTAGGGTAGGAATTTCACAGCATAGATGTAATTCCGTATGATCTCTGGCTTCAGGTACCTGAGGTTTAGAGGTGCTATTTTCTTGTCCTGATTTAGAAGCAAGGACTTTAACTGTAGATAAATTCTAAAAGGTGAGCCTGGGATAGTACACCCTGTCACCTCGACCCCCACCCTCACCCCCCATCCCCACCCCCAACACAGCCCTGTTCTCCTGATCTCTCTTCTCCAGCCTCTCAGTCCTTCCCAGGGTTCAATTCTCACTCTGGGTCTCCCAGACACATTTCTGTTGGGATTCTGGCCAGAGTTTGCACCGCTGCAGCAGTAGGTTTGCCTCTGACTCTCACCCTTGGCGAAAGGCTGTAAAAATAACCCTGAAGGGTGACTGCAACTCACACAGAATATCTAACTCTGACGTCTGCCAGGAGGATCACTGACCTTTAAAGCGGCCTGTGGCTGTCTTCCAGAGCAGGCAGCCATCGTGGATAAGTTTTCTCCGCAAAAGTTCATCTCGGCCGAAGGGGCCCTTGCCAGGCACAGGGGTCTGAGCCCGAGGATCCATTCGGTTGTAAATCTCCTGTAGGCGGGCCTCTTTCTCCAGCTCGTGCACATCTTGGTCCACATTGGACAACAACTCCTTCACTAGCCCTAGGGCTGCCGCCAAGTCTTGGTACTCTTCTTCAATCCCTGGTACCGGACATCCAGCATGAGAGACAGTTCAACCAGTGCTCTTCCAACCCAATTCTACCTGAGACTGCTCACCATTCCCCACCACCCCCGCCACCATGCTCTTCCTCACCATGGGAATTCTGCAGGATCCGGTTGATGAGCACTGGGTATTTGGTGATCCGCTGAGTCACCAGGAGAATGCATTCCTGGACTCCATGCCGCTTCAACACAGCTGAGCGGGTCATTTTCTATAAGGGAAGATGAAAGACTAAGGGGGCAGAAAGACTGGCGCCCAGGCTCTGAGGCTGGCCCACCCTGGCATCCGCCCCATGTTGGCCTAAGCAGACAGCTTCTGGGAAATGAGTAAGTGAATGTCACAGGTCTGTGGTGGCGAGCAAACCAACGATGGCATGAAAACTAGACCAACATCACCCTCTTGCCCAGTGTGGGGTGGCTGTTGATCTAAGAGTGAGCTGGGTATAGTGTCACAAGCCTTTAATAGCAGCACAGGAAGGCAGGTGGACCCCTGTGAGTTTTGAGGCCAGCCGTATCTATACAGTGAGTTCTATGACAGCCAGGGCAGCATAGAGACCATGTCTCAACAACTGAGAGAGATCTAGGGACACAGTCCACAAGGGTGTTGAGGGGTTGCCTTCTGTGAGCACACAGCTCCCATATGCTACCCTGGGGATGGGAGAGTTTGGGTTTGAGTCATGAGAAGGCTGGGCTTAGGCTTGGAGATGCTTGCTTACCCGGATGAACTGTTGGAAGCGTTTGTCTCGAGCATACAGCTCCTTATAGAGCTTTAAGGCCTTGGTGTGGCGGCTGCAGAACTCTGAGTAGGTCTTGCGCATCTGCTCAGCATTGGAACCTGAGAACTGGAAGTCAGGAGGGCAAAACCGGATCAGCCCTTCCTACAGAGCCGCACCTCAGCCCTCAGCACACCTCTGGCCTTCTGTTTGACATTTCCTCCTCTCAAGTTGTCCCCTGCCTTGCTTCCCTCCAGCCACCAGTTTGCTTGGAGGTAAGAATTGTTTACTCCTTGGCCAATAAGATGGTTCAACAAGTAAAAGAACTTGCTAGCATCATGCCTGACAACCTGAATTCAAATCCTGAGACTCACATGATGGGAAAGAACCACGTCCCAGGATTGGGCTCTGACCTCCACATACCTGTACGCATTCATGAACAGGTCCCATGTGTCTTTTCCTACCTGACTGATGAGCAGGTCACCCAAACGATGGATGACAAAGTTCCGGGTGCTTCCTGGACATAGGGCCTGGCGCCGCCGTTCCAAAAGCTGACTAAGGAAACGTGTGTGAATGTCACTAAGCTCATCCACGCAGGGGAATAGGCCCTGGACCACTTCTGGCTCCAGCTGCAACTCTTCCAGCATCCCAGTGCGAAAGAGGCGGGTCATAATCTTCAAGGTTCTCACATGGTGCAGCTCTGTCTGAATCAGCTCTATGAGACAAAGGGACATTTGTCTCTGTTGTACTCTACCTCAGGCACAACTCATGGGGCCCTAGGTGCCTCTTCTAAGTTAACGCTTGTGTGGTTGTCATCTCAGACCACTTCCTTGTCATTTCAAGCAGTAGACTATTTTAGGGCAAGAGCCCTGTGTGTTAAGTGTGTAGGTTTCCCAGTTCCTGGCATGGTGTTGGGCATGAGCGGGGCAGGAATGAAGACTGAGGAAGGAAGAGATATCAGTGGGGCCTTGGGAGCTGTGCAGTGGTACACACTCGTTATCTCAGAACTCTGGAGGCTGAGGCAGGAGAACGGAGAGTTTGAGACCAGCCTGGCCTACATGGTGAGACTCTCATCTCTTAAATAGAAAATAAAAATATCCCAATGGCACCAAGAAGTAGGTGCATGGGGACAAGCTGGTGCCCTCTGGGGACATGGAGGCCAAGGATGGGATGAGGGGGTCCCAACAGGTAGGTGGCAGGGAGAAGACGCAGGTAAGCAGGGTCTGGTTAGAAAGGGGCGGGGAGACCAAAGTGCCCTTGGCATACCATAGATGACATCTTGCTTCTTCATGACCTCCTTCTTATGTTGCTGCAGGAAGCTGCTGTCCACGGCAAGGCTCCACGAATCTGCCTCAAAGTCCTTCTCGTCCATCTCAAAGTCGCTCATCAGCTCATTGTAGAAGACTTCTACGCCTGCGCAGTCAGTGCAGGCAGCACTTCAGGGCCCGCCCGGCTCTCCCTCCCCTGCCTCCTCTTCCTCCCCGTCCCAGGCTTCTCACACCACAGTCTTGCCAACACGCATCTCCCCAAGGCCAGGTCTGCTCACCTTCATCAATAAGGGATTCCACGGACAGCGTTCGGTTCCGCATGTTGAGGGAGTCTGTGGACTGGGAGAGGATCTGACGCAGCCCCAGAGGAGACTCATCATTGAAATGTCTGAAGGAATTGGAGGCCATCTGCATCACCCCAACTCGGGCAAGAGGTCCCTTCCCAGGTTGGGACCCAAGGTTGGGTTCCTAGGGATAGCTACTCTGTGCTGGAACTTATCTTTCTTGTATCTGTCTCCAGTTCTGAACTCAGGGGAAGAAATAGTGCTCTCGTGGGCTTTGAACTCTCTCCTGTCAAGCCCCCTCTTCCCCAAACAGAAGCTCACCCAGCAATGTTGGTAGTGGAAACACTTTTGGCCAAAGACAAGGAGGAGAGGCCACGACGAGAACCCAGGAGGGACTGCCGGAAGCTATCAGAAGGGTAGATGGCAGACGTTGGCCGCTCTCTGGTGGTTGCTGTAAGAAAGGAGGCAGGAGAAGACTTAGTTCCTTGGCCCTCTGCTCTCCTAGGCTCCTCAAGCGGAACCATGGTGAGTTGTCTGGCCTGTCCTCAGCTCCTCAGAGTCAAAGAAAATTGGCAAAAACCCATCAAGATAACGCCACTGTTCACTGTGCAAGCCTCCATCATGAATTAAGAGCCTGTTCATATATGTTCTGACACCCCAGACAAGCCTATGAGCAAACTCAAGGCCAGAAATGTAAGACCTGTCTGCAGTGATCCAAGCTGCTGAGAAGGAATCTGGGCACCACGCTTTTTCTGAACTGACAGTTGACAGTCAGTCCCCAAATGAAGTATAGATAAATGGCTACCATAATAGGGTGTGGCAAGGCTGAAGTCACTCTTGTCCCTTATCTCTATTTGGACTAGCCCGTCTAGATACTAAGCCCAGGAATAAGGACTATCCCTTATGGCACGCCCACCCAAGTGGAGCCGTGTGTGTGTGTGTGTGTGTGTGTGTGTGTGTGTGTGTGACCTCAGGGGGGCAGCAGAGCCCATGGGCTCAGAAGCTTGGTAGTCCTGTGACTTCCCTATTACTCACTCTTACTTCGGAGAGAAACGGACTGCAAGGCAGTGTTGTTCCTCAGCAATGCAGCTTTCTGTTGCTGTGAGACACAAAGCAAAAGAGAGACACCAAAAACAGCTGTCACCCAGAGACTACCCTGCCACACACCCAGGACAAGCCAGGATCTGGCAGCTGCCCCTTTGGGAGAAAGCTAACCCTGCATTTAAGGGCATCGGGATGGGTAAACTAGTGTAGCAGGGCTATGTTTACATAGGGCAAGGGTCTGGGATGCCCCATGGCAAGGAGCGGGAGCTAGGGTGAAAAATAAGTGGAAAGACACATGGGTATGGCACTGCCCTCCCTGCAAGCCCTCCACCCACCCTGCCATCTCACCTTCTGCTTGACCTTGGTACAGTTGGCCAGGGTGTCTTTACAGCGGTTGTGGATGGTCACGTTGCATGCTGGTGGAAGGGTGGGGTAGAGAGGGTGAAGGGAGGGATGGGGTGGCACAGGGGGTGACAAGCCCACATGTAAACACCCAACTTCCCAGGCCATATATTCTGCAGACACTCTCCCAGCTTCCCAGAGTTGTTGGTCATTATCACATGTCAACCCCTCCCCCACCTCCCTCTTCCTTCAGGCAGGAATTGAAGTGAGAGGGATCCAGAAGGTTTGGAAATCCTAGGGCCTGGAGACCAGAGGGAAGAAAGGTGTCTGGTGCTTGGGAAGAGCAGAAAGCACAAAGGAGATGACACTGCAGATGACCATGGGAACTCCTAAGACTTGAAGCTGACAGAGAGAGCCAGAACGCACTGTGGTCCCTGAGGAAAGCTCTCTACTCACTTCACTCAAAAATGCTGATTTTGCAGATGAAGAATCTGATCTGAATGGTGCTTGCTAACCTAGGTCACCCAGCAGGTGGAGAGCTAGGAATTATCTTAGATATGCTCAGATCCAGAAACCGTTCTCTCCCATATACATGCCAGTGGCTTCTGCTGACGGCTCCAGAGTCTGGGCCCAGAGGCCCTTCCCTTTCCCAGCTTGGCAGCCTTCTGCATTAACTCCATTCTGGGGGCCTTCTCCCTTGTAGGCCCGGGAAGTTCTGTTCCCCAGTAAGGCAAACTACAGCTCCCACACTCCATCTGCTTCTCCCCATCCCCCACTCCACCTCTCCATGAAGTAGCAAAGGAAAAAGGAGTAGCTGAGCCTAGACTCAGGACCATGGGTTCCCTTCCTGGCATGCCCTCAGCTCTACAGCTTCTCCCCCCACCCCCAACCCCACAGGAAACTCTGCTAACTCAGGCAGACAATGCCCAACACCACGCTCACTTCCACAAATACAAGGGACACAGGGTGGGGCAGAAGGGCCCGATGGAAGCCAGGCTGTGGCAGTACCCACCCCCTGGAGCTCCCTTCTCCTACCCCCAACACCTAGTGTCTCTGGATCAAGCCTCCGCTTTCCACCTGCTCTCAAAATAGTGCTACCCACCTCCCCAGTTCCCCTGGCAACAAGCTTCCGGATTGAGTATTTTGCCAGGTCTCTAGAGGGATCTAGATTGGGGTTACCTCCTCATCTTTTTGGCTCTAAATCAAGTGGTAAAGAAGTAGGGGGGCAGGCCTCACTGGTTCTTTCTGAGGTTCCTTTCCAACATCCCACAGGGATCAGGAGGCTAGAGTGGAATTGGGCTGGTCAGCATCAAGCTACAACACTTTCATCTACTCAGAGGAAGGCATGGGGGTGGGGGTGGGGCAGGACGGAGCTGGAGCCCTCTGCACTGGTATCCTAAGGAGGCAGGAATTCCTCTGTCTCCTTCCTGGGACAGGATAAAGGTTAGACATGGCCAAGATTAGGAGTTTTGAGTCCGTCCCTCCATCACACAGATCTCTGATGAATTTCTTTATCAGGGATAAAGAAATAGATAGTCCCAGCCTGTCCTTGAATCAGCAGACTTCTGTTCTACTCACATGCAACAGAAAGGCAGGGGCATGGGAGCCTCAAGTCTAAATTGTCCAGGGAGACGGGCAGAGGCAGCTGCAAGGCTGGCAGCTTCCCTCCATTCCCTAGCTCCTCTCCCACCCTGGTTCATAGCAAACATTCCTGCTCATTCTCCAGACAGTTCTCCCAACTGTCAGCAGCTGTTCAGAGAGCGAGGGGGATACCCAAGCAAGTGACAGCTGCATGGAGAGTAACAACAGCCTCTGTCACCCCACACCCAAGAGACCAACCAGCTTATGTCACATTCCAATGGCCACCACCCAGTGTGGGCAAGGGCAGCAGGAGACCAAGCACCTGAGCATGAAACTTGAGCCCAGCTGGGATCCAGAAAATAGAGTCCCTTTAAGGGTCCAGGGTGGAAGGAACAGACGAAAGAACTAGGGTTGATGGTGACTGAGGCTAGGTGACCTTTGGAACCAAAGACTTACTGGGACAAATGAGGGCTTCCTTGGCTGTGATGCTCTTGTTACAGGCATAGCACATAGTCATGCCGGAGACCGAGATGGTGGTGAAGAGGTGGCCGTTGGTATAGCGGGCATCTTTAGCTTCCTTCATCTTCTCCTTTTCCCGGGTCTGTGGAAAGGTTGAGAGACAGAGGTGAGGCTGGAAGACACCCAGGTAGCTGGCATCCAGAGAAACAGGCTGAAAGCAGAGGCATGGGAGAAATGCCTTCCTAGAGAGAGGCTGGAGTGTCACCAATTGCTAAATCACAACCTGCTACACATGGGTGTCTGAGATGGCTGTCCAGGCATGTCCAGGCCCTGGGCAGTCAGTCCCTAGGGCTGCTAGGCTTCTGACCTACCTGACCCCGGCGACTGGGCTGCCTCCTGTTACCACTCATCTCCCTAGCTCTAGAGCTCTGCGTCCTCACTCCACCTTCCAGCCTTAGCTCTGCTCGCCCCCGGGCTGCTGTATGCTTTCTCTGTGCTGGGGGAAGATGCGCAGAGAGAGGGGAGGACCAGTGAAGCAGAGGGTGCCAGCTCACCAGCGCTTTCCAATCTATGGGAGTTAGCTCCTCTCATAACCATGACAACGGGTGTTGGAGCTGCTGTCTTCAAAGCAGTCATGGGGGAGCAGGGATGGCAAAGCAGGAGATCCCCTTATTAGACTGGCTGGTGGGGGGCAGGATGCCTCTTCAGACACCATCAACTCAGAGGTCAGGACCCCAAACCTCTAACTCTTCTACTTAGTCAAAGCCCAAAAGATCCCTCACTAGCAGTGTGTGTGTGTGTGTGTGTGTGTGTGTGTTTAGGGGGGTCAGGTACCCAAGAATACCCTTGAACTTGGATCACGGTGCTGAGATTACAACACTCTCTAGTACATTCTTGCCTCCTGAGGTATATGTTGACCTTGCCTTTGAGCTTTCCCCTACCTCCTCCAGCTTCTATAAGAGTCCTTGACTTCTTTTCTTTTCCTCCCCAAGCTCCAAGAGCCAGAAAAGGTGAAAAGGCAACACTGGCTGTGGTAGCCCATGCCTGTTATCTCCCGCACTTGGAAGACTAAGACAGGAATACTGCAGCAAGCCTGGGCTATAGAACAACTGTCTCACAACAACATCACAACAAAAACGTGGGAGCGCACACACTCATACACAAACAGCACTGAAGAAGTGGAGGCAGGAAGCTTGGGACCCAATGGTATGGACCCAATAAATTAGAAAGGGCAGGATAAATGACATAGTGGGGTATGGCTTTAATCTCAGCACTTGGGAGGAAAGGCAGGCAGATCTCTAAGTCTGAGGCCACCCTAGCCTACATAGCAAATACCAAGCTAGTCAGAGCTTACAGTGAAACCCTGTATCTAAAGTAATTAGTTAACTAATTAATTAAAGACATTAGAGGACAAGCCAGGCAGGAGTGAAGCTCGCCTTTAAACCTAGCATTTGGGTGGCAGAGTCGGGCGTATCTCAGACTTCAAGGGCAGCTGGATCTACAGAGTGAGTTCCAGGACAGCCAGGGCTACACAGAGAAACCTTGTCTCAAAGGAAAAAAAAAGTGTTAGGGGACAAGGACACCATGCAGGTGGCTGAGGCTGAGAGTAGGAGCCCCAAGTTTAGGACACTGGCTGGGACCCTAGGACAGAAAGTCACAATGCAGTGAAAAAACGTTCAGCGTGGGCCTGGATAAGAAGTCCTGCCTACGCCACTAACCACACTGGCAGTCAGAGGGGGAGGATGGGAAAAAGGGAAGCATAAAGGCGCTGAGTCAACAGTCCAGGGGCCAGAGAGCATCAGACCACAGTGCGCTGGGCCCTGGGGTAGCCGGAGGAGAGCAGAGCCCAGTGGCCTAGATGGCGGTCACCTCCTCATGCCCCCTCCTCACCCTCCTCATGCCTTCCCACCTCCCCCATGTGGTTCTTCCTTTCTCCCCTACTGTACTATTGGGGTTTCATTTGGTAACTTTTTGTTTTATTTTGTTTTGAGTCTGAGTCTCACTATGCAGCCTTGTCTAGCCTTGAACTTAAAGGTAATCCTCCTGCCTCAGGTACCAAAGTACAGGACTTGCACCCGCAGGCCAGGGCTCCTCTCTTTATCCAGCCTGCTCTCCTCTCCGTATCTTGGTCCTATCTCCTGTCCCCTGCTCTTGGTGAACTCACCTGTCCCCCAAGCCTTACACTCTTCTCTCAGCCATGCATCTACTTCTCTATGGATGGTCCTCCCTCCCTCCCTGTCCCTGTGGCTGGCTCCTCCTCTGGACACTCCTCCTTGAGACTCTAGTATGGGTCACTTCAGCATCCCCTGCTCTAGTGGCTGCTACCTACCTGAATCGCTAGAAAAGTCTCCCACTGCTCTGCATGCTAGCTGTCTTGTGGGAAAGTACAGCTCTTTAATTGTTTTTAGATCAAAGTGACCTCAAATTCACCTCCTTGGACTTCAAAGGCCAAGCCTAAATATCCCTTGCCACATGCTCTCTCCCTCTTCACCTCTCTGCCCTCCCACGCTTCTCTAGGACACCAATCTAGACTATGAATATTTATGAAGATTTAATTAAAAACAAACAAGCAAGTAAAAGGAGAATGGCAGTCACCAGAGCGCCTGGCAAGGGCCGCTCCAGAAGGAGCAGTGTGCTTACAGACACATTCTGAAGCTGTATGAGGCTCTTACCACACAGCTCTCTGTCCGACCTGCCTGCACAATTCTGCTGGGAGTGGCCAAGGGGACGGGGCCAGACAGGGCCCCAATGACCCTTTCCCTTCTTGCACCATACAGACCCCCAGTTGCTCTGGTCCTTGCCTTCCACCTACCAACACTCACCCTCTCTCCAAGTGACCCCTGCTCTAGGTGGGCAAGCAGAGGGCAGCAGCCACAGCAGCAGCAGCACATCCCAGCACGGGCCCTGGCCAGCAGCGAGCGGCCCTGGCACAGCCTAACACTATTGTCCCAGAGATGGCTGTACTGAGCCCGCCCCAGGGCTCAAGCTGTGTGGAGAATGGAGTAACATGGGAACTGCTTACTGGGGGGTAGGGGGTGAGGGGTGAGGGGTGAGGGGTGAGGGGTGGGGGGTGGGGGGTAAGGGGTGGGGGGTGGGGGTGGGGGTGGATTGATTCACTGTCTCCCATTTACACACAGCAAGCAGATCAGCTCTTCAGCTCTTCATCTCCTCCAGGCCGCAGTATGTCCAGGAAAGGAGCAATCATAGCTGGGAGGGTGGGGGGTGTACACACCAAAAGCCCAGATACTGGGAAGGCTGAGGTAGGAAGATGGTCAGTTCAAAGCCAACCTGGACAACTTAGCAAGACACTGTCTTAAAAGAAAATGTCTAAAACACGGGTTCAAGGGTCTAATAGATGTGAAACACTGGATTTAATCCTAGCACCACAGGGACAAGAAAGACCTGTCATTCCTCAGTCCAAACATTCACCTCAGGGCTCAGGGCCCTTTCTGCTCGACCCAACCCTCTGCTGTCCAGCTCTGGATGTTTCCTGCTTCTTCTTCACAGATCTCGGAAGTCTTCCCTGCTCTCGGACATTATCCAAGCTAATGTTCCAAATGGGGTTAACTGAACAGGCTTGGTGTATTCTGCATACTCCTGTAGTTCCATGTAGTTCCACCACTTGGGGGGTTGGGGGGAGAATCAGGAGTTCAAGGTCAACTTCCATCCTGAGACCTAAAAGCCTCATTTATATTTAGCAGGCACCCAGTGTATACTGGAAAATGGAGGTAAAAAGGGAAGGAAAGACAGGGTCTCCAGTAGCACCCCTGCTCTGGGGGACACCCTTTACTGCCCGTAAGAACCATAGGAACTTCTGTCCCCTTTCCAGTCCTTCCTTTCCCTCCTCTTGGAGCACTCCCAAGCTGGATCTCCTACTCCCTCTGACTGAGACCTCCCCTGGGGGTCAGAATGTCAACTCAAGACCTCCTTCCATTCTCACACCAAACCTTGGCCACTGTGGGGAGACAAGTTCTCTCCATCATGTGCCCTAGGCTAAGAGAAAACAATGATTCATATAAAGGCAAATCTAGGCTCTGGCTTCCCGGGCTCCTCAGGGTGAGTCAGAGTGGCTCTCCCAGTTCTCACTGCCCTCCTCTCTCCATACCAAGGCCTCTGGGAGAATTGTGTAGTGTTCACAATCACCACTGATTGTGAGAGACTGGCCTTAGCCTCTTCCTTAAGATTCCACAGCCAGAGGACTCTTGAAGGAGCCCACTGGGACTCAAAGCCTGTGGCTCCGCCCTGGACAGCTGAGACACAGGGTCACTGGTTGTGAAGGAGAAGGGCTGTTGTTGACCAGTGCAGAGCTTGCAAACTTGGTTTCAATTCCACAAGGGGAAATCTATGAGCCTGAAAAACGAAGAGAGAAGATTCCTGATGCGAGTCCAGGAGGAGGACTTTCGATGGTCTGTGTGAGGCCCTGTTCCTTCAGACCCTCCAGGGAAGGAGATGGAATACTGGAAGCTGAGAAAAGGTAGCCAAATGCAGACCGCTAAAGCCACAGCCAGAAACAAAAGAGAAGGCCATCACAGAATACACAAAGGCACTTAGAAAACCTCTGCTTAATGAAGGATGGTAAACCACTGGACATGAGATTGGGCAGCATCCTGGTGATGCAGAAAAGAGGTACTTAAGCCATAGGCAATAAAATCCACCTCGATCGAGACTCTGAGAGCCAGTTACCCTGGACCCCAGCCTGCTCCCCACCCAGCCACACCTGTCGGGCCAAGAGGGAGAAGGCAAGAAAAACGCAGACAGACGGGCATTTGTACAGGCAAACAATAGCTGTGCCAGACTCCCTGCCCTCCTGGCACAAGGCAAGCCAGCTGAGTTGGGAGGGGGTAGCTGTCGCCTGCAGCCCTACCCCCACCTCCCTAAGGAGACACAAACAAACCCAGAAGGGTCTAGCCTGCACTTCTCAGCCATTTCTCTACCAGCTCCAGAAATCATGACCAATTCACTCAGAGCCTACATCAACACAGAGGTTAGACTTTAGCATGGGAACTACTTCCTTCTGTCCACTGAGCTTGGTAAGCACTAATTTTCAAAGAGCACCCCTGAGCATCTCTGACAGAGAGACACACCCCCAATACAAGAAGCGTGCACACATGGGAATCACAGCCTGATCCATGCCCTCCCAGA